GGCCGCTCCCCAGCTGCAGCTCAGAGCAGGGCTGCTGGCCAGTGAGGAATTGCACTGGGAGAGCGGGGCAGGGGAGTGTGCTGGGAGGCAACGTCCCCTTCAGCCAGGACCCTATCCTGGGAATCTGGTCATCAGGGCTGTGTTCCTGCCAGCGCAGGCAGGTAACGGAGCACAAGGGGTGGATCCGGCTCATGCTCAGGTGCCTGGCACCATCTGCCCTGGAATGTGCTCAGACCAGTCTGGGCGCAGCAGGGCCCTGCTGCTCCTCGGCTCCAGTGCATCCGGTGTATGGCCTGGCTGCAGACGTGGCTCTTGGCTCAGTTCTCCTGGGCTCTGGGCCAGGAGCTGCTCTGCTGCAAAGCCCTGGTTGTCCCAGGCCAGGATCTGCCACTCAGCCAGGACAGACAGACCATTGCTGTGCTCCGGAGATTTGTGAGGGGCAGGGGAGCGCCATCTCATTTCCAAAACGTCTGCACTGTGGGGACGAAGGGGCAGGAGAGCATGTGCCAGCTGTGCTCCAGGGTTGGGAGCAGGAGCTAGGGCTGGCTCCTCTGGGATGTGCAGCTCCACCAGGAGCTTTCTGGGAGGCATGATGTTGTAGGCAGGACCAGCGCGGTACATCCTGAGGGACTGCCATGCTGTGGCCGCAGAGGCTGCTCAGTGCACGCAGCTGCCAGTGCGGGACCAGCTGCCTGCTGTCCTCTGCCTGCTCCCTGGCCATCGGGAGCTCAGCCCAGGCTTTGGCCCTGCCAGGTCCTGGCTTGGGAAGCCTGGGGTTTCCCTGGCTGTGTGAGAGCCCCAGGATGCTAGCCACAGTGGGATGGTCTCCATCTCTGCCGGGTCCCTGGGGCTCCCCAGGCTGCAGCAGCACGTCTGTGTCCTTGCAGGCCCTGAGGATGTCGGACGGGATCATGAGCAAGGCTGCCACCATGGAGATCCCTATCAGCAGCAACGGGGACACAGGCAGCCTGCCAGAGGACGACAGCTTGGAGCAGGTTTGTAGCTGGGGCCAAGTGGGGACATGCCAGACCCCCAGGTGTTGCTTTCCGTGCTGTGCCTCTCTGCTGACTCTGCCCCAGGACCTCTGCATCAGGGCTGGGCCGTCCGCTCGGCTGTGTGCCCTGGCTTTGTGCCTCAGCTGCTTGTGCTCTTCCCTCCGTTCCAGGACCTGCAGCAGGTGATGGTGTCGGGGCCCAACCTCAATGAAACCAGCATCGTCTCTGGCGGCTATGGGGGCACGGCTGAAGGCATCATCCCCACCAGCACCATCAAAGGTAGGCCAGGCCACAGCGCAGGCTCGTGTGGACAGGACTGGGGCAGAACGTGAAAGCTGGGACTGCCTGCTGAGGGCAGTGCTGCTCCTCGTGCAATGGCAGAGGTGTGAGGGAAAGGCTCCATCGTGGGAAGGAGGGTACAGCTCATCTCCCCACCCTCCTGCTCCGTGCTGGGCTGCAGGAACCTGCAGGGAAGGAGGGTGCTGCTTAAGCTGCAAGGCGCGGGAGCCTGGTCCCTCTGCTGGGGCACGGCCCATGGTGGTACCAGGCAGGGAGGGTCCAGTGTGGGCATGCAGGCAGAAGCTGGGCTGGCGCCTTGGCCCCACGGTGTGTCCCCTACCCGGTCCTGATGCGTGTTTCTGCCTCAGCCCAGCTGTTTGGTACAACACTTCCTTCACAGGATGGCAGCACCTGCCCCTTCTTCCCTGCCGAGCTGGGGTCTGCTGACAGGCTGGCCCAAGCATGCCTGCAGCAGAGCCTGGCTGCCTGGGAGTGGAGGGGCTGCCGCCCTGCTAACCCTGCTCCTCCTGTGCTCCCCGCACTAATGGGGAGGTGCTGTGAGAGGGAGGGCTGGGCCTTGGGCACTCCCAGCTGTCTTGCAGCTGTGGGGCCTCCCGCTGGGGGCTGTGGGTTGCGGTGCCTGGGCTTCGCACTGTGCTGAGGCAGGGCAGCTCTCAGTTCTCTCTTCTTCCGGAGGTGGGGAAAGGTGCCAGTGTCCCACCTCCTCTTCAGTTCTGGGTGAACGAGGAGCTCTGGTGGCGTGCCGGTGCCAGCAATTGTACCACAAGGACTAGGGATGTCCTGCCCACAGGAGGACAGGGAAGGGTGGCTCTGAGCCCCACGGTCTCCACTTATTTCCTCTTCTCATCACTCAGGCTGGTCCTGGGGCGGTGGGTGCTTTGACAGCAGGGCATGGCTGCGAGCGTCCTGCCAACCAGACGGGCAGCAGTGTGGGCAAGCGTGCCACAGCCCCGGGACCCTGCTTGTCCCTGCACCCCCCTGGGAGCTCTGCCCCGGGCGTGGGGGCAGCGATGAGCATCAGTGGTGCTGGGCTGGACCACAGGCACCACTGGGGCAACTCTGGCACAGCTATGTCTCTCACCCTCTGTCCTGCGTGGTCCTGTTTCGTACAAGTCTCCGTCCTCTGAGTCTTGCCCCAAGTTGCTCTTCCGTAGCAGACAGCTGCTTGACCCTGGCCACTCCACGCTGCATTAGGCTTGAGCAAGTGTATTTGCACAGGCTGAAGGGACGTGTGCGTTCACTCCCAGCCTGCTCTGCCGAAGAGCAGCACGAGCGTGTGGCAGAGGGATGTGCGTGCTGTAGTTGCCATCCCCATGGCTCTGTTATGCCGGGCCTGTCCAGCTCTTGGCTTGCGGGGCACAGTGAGCCCAGCCGACAGGACAGAGGGAGCGGGGAGGGAGCACCTGGTATGGGAGGTGTCCATCTGTCTTCTGATTTCATGTCACACTCATCTGCTCCCATTTGCTCTCCCCTGCTGCCGTCCCACCTGCACACTCGTCCTCTGTCCTCACCACTCCTGTCTCCCGTGCCTGTCACGTCACCCCATCTCCTCTTGCCCCTCTCTGCTCAATACCTGCCAGCCCCTCCATTTCCAGGCTGTCTTATCCAATCTCACCCACCCCGAGGACCATCCGTCTCCCCCAGTGCATCTGCCGCCAGCAGGATGGCCAACCAGGCTGGTGCTTCAGCAGGTACTGCAGCCACCCGCCTGGGCTCGGGCCCCCAGTTAGTGCTGGGGACCCTTGCAGCACCTCTGCAGTGAGGTGGCTGCAGCCCCACGTAGCCACCGGTGCGCAGGCGGGCAAGCCCGCTGCCATAGGAGGAAGAACTTCCCAGCACTCACCTCCTGCAGCAGCTGCAGCAGGGTCTTGGCCCTGGTGCTGGGAGGCAGAGGACAGTGCTGCCAGAGACCCGGGTGGTGCCCGGCTGTGGAGATCATTCCTGCAGCAAGGAGCCCACGCGCATGCTTCCCCCGGGTGCTGCTGGTTGCCTTCTCCTCTCTGGCTTGCTCAGTGAGGAGGAGGATCAGGAAGGACACTGCTCAGGGCTGCTCAGAGCACAGCCCAGCATGGGAGGCGCTGGGGCCTCATCTGCGAGAGGGCTCATCTGCACTGACGATGAGGCAGCTCCTGCAGGCAGGCTGGGGTCAGTGCCTTCTCCTGTGGGGTCAGCTGCCACCACTGCCAACGCCAGGGCCCTGTGTGCGACACCTCTGGAAGGGTTGTGGGAGCTGCGTGCATGAGGTGTTGGGTCACGACACCTGCAAGCTGGTCAGCAGGCATGCAGCACTGCGAGACTGGCCAGAGCCCTTTGACGCTGCTGGCTCGTGCCCTTGTGGCTGGCAGGGGAGAGCTGCTCTGGCCCAGGCCCTCAGCAGGGCAAGGTGCGCAGTACTGTGCTGCAGCAGGCACAGTGGCAGCTTGCCAGGCAGGGCAGCAGCCAGGCAGGGGTGGGTGCTGCTTGGACCACGAGTCGGTTGTGCTTGGGCTTTGTCAAGCCCTGATGCATCCCTGTTCTTGCTCCTCACTGTGCCCTGAGCCCTCTGGGCGCAGCTGTGGTGCCCTGCTCTGAAGGCATCATTGCTTTTGGGTGAGCAGCCTGGCCTGTGCCCTCTGCGGGCTCTGTAGCCCAGCTAAGCTGATGCTGCTGCCCAGCTGAGCCGATGCTGCGCGGGGCTGTGTCTGTTCCAGGCTCCGGGCTGCACCAGCCCCACCCCAGCCCAGCCGTTGGAGGAGAGGAGGTTGTCCGTGGCATCGCTGTGGAGAAGTTTGACATTGTCAAGAAATGGGGTATCAACACGTACAAGGTGAGCTGCTTCCTGGGACCGTTGGGGTGGCCCGGCTCGCTGCCGGGGCCACGCAGCAGCTTGACGTTTGGGCCAGGCCCTGCACTAGGGATGAAGGAGCAGTGGGAGGTGGAGGACGTGTCCGGGGATCTTCCCACAGAATTTGTGGGGATAGCTCTGCAGCTCCCCATTGCCTGCAGCAGCAAAGAGCTCTTCCTCCCCATCGGCCAGGGACCCGGGGCCTCCTGATGCCTTCCTCCCTCGCCCTGCAGTGTACCAAGCAGCTGATCTCGGAGCGGTTTGGCCGGGGCTCCCGCACTGTGGACCTGGAGCTGGAGACGCAGATTGAGCTGCTCCGGGAGACAAAGCGCAAGTACGAGTGTGTGCTGCAGCTCGCGCGGGCTCTCACCAACCACTTCTACAGCCTGGTGCAGACACAGCACGCCCTGGGGGATGCCTTTGCAGACCTCAGCCAGAAGTCTCCTGAGCTGCAGGTATGCCCGCTGGGGAGGTGGTGCGTGCCTTGGCTCTGCAGCACAACCGGGGGCAGCTCTCTGCTCCGCAGCACCCCAGGTGCGTGAGGAGAAGTAGGAGGAGGTTGGGGATAACCGCAGTCGGCGAAGGCCACGGGTCGAGGGAGAGCGTGAAGGGCTGTGTCCTAGCATCTCCTTGGAGCACCCACAGCCAGGCTGATTCTGGGCATGGGGGAGGAGAGAGGGGGCCTTGCTGGTATGGACCCTGACTCCTCCTCCTCTCCCAGGAGGAGTTTGGTTACAATGCAGAAACACAGAAACTGCTCTGCAAGAACGGAGAAACACTACTGGGAGCTGTGAACTTCTTTGTCTCCAGCATCAACACACTGGTGAACAAGACGATGGAGGACACGCTCATGACAGTCAAGCAGTACGAGACAGCCAGGTAGAACAGCGGCAAGGCCCCTGGGCTGGGGCTGGCTTCCTCTGGGTGCCGGGCGTCCCTGGTGGGGAATTGCTGGGCCACAGCATAGCTCTGACACTGGCTGTCCCTGCACAGGCTGGAGTACGATGCATACCGCACGGACCTGGAGGAGCTGAGCATGGGCCCTCGGGACGCCAGCACCCTGTGCCGGCTGGACACAGCCCAGAGCCAGTTCCAGAGCCACAAGGACAAGTACGAAAAGCTGCGTGCTGATGTGGCCATCAAGCTCAAGTTCTTGGAGGAGAACAAGGTGGGGAGGGACGTGGGGCTGGTAAGGGGCTGTGGGGCGCAGAGCAGGGGTCTGCTGTGCACTTGTGTCCCTTGGCCATGCTGCCTTGCGGCCACCTGCCGGAGATCTGCCTTCGGGTGGGCAGCAGCTGCGAGGCAGCCGGGAGACCAGTGGGGAACAGCAGGGGAGCGCCCGTCTCTGCCTGCCTCTCACTGTCGTGGGTTCTGCAGCCCAGCCCTCTTTCCGCGCTAGCTTTTGGGACCTGCTGCCAGCAGCTCTGATCTTCCCCTCCTGTGCTAGGCAGGGGCCACATCCCTGCCACCTGCCCCTTCTCTGGGTGCTGGGCGATGGGGCCAGGTCACTGCAGGCTGACCCCTCCTGCTCTTCCCAGATCAAGGTGATGCACAAGCAGCTACTGCTCTTCCACAATGCCATCTCTGCCTACTTCGCTGGGAACCAGCAGCAGTTGGAGCAGACCCTCAAGCAGTTCAACATCAAGCTGAAGACCCCCGGTGCTGAGAAGCCCTCTTGGCTGGAGGAGCAGTG